TCTTAGAATCATAGAATCACACAGAGTTAGAAGGGTTCCACAGAGGCCATCTAGTCCACCCCCCTGCTCAATGCAGGATCCGCCTAGAGCATCCCTGACAAGTGTTTGTCCAGCCGCTGCTTCAAGACTGCCAGTGAAGGGGAGCTCACCACCTCCCGAGGCAGCTGATTCTACTGCGGCACAACTCTGACTGTAAAAAGGTTTTTCCTACTATCCAGCCAGTACCTTCCCACCCTTAATTTAAACCCATTCTTGCGAGTCCTCTCCTCTCCTGCCAATAGGAATAGCTCCCTGCCCTCCTCTGAGTGACAGCCCTTCAAAGACTTCAAGAGAGCAATCCTGTCCCCCCCTTAGCTTCCTCTTCTCCAGACTGAACATTCCCAGGCCTTTCCTTACAGGGCTTCTCGGTCTCCAGGCCCCTGATCATCCTCGTCGCTCTCCTCTGCACCCTTGCTCCATTCTGTCCACATCCATTTTGCAGTGAGGCCTCCAGAACTGCAGACAGTCCTCCAGGTGCGGCCTGACCAATGCCGTATACAGCGGGACTATGGCATCTCGCGATTTGGATGTTATGCCTGTGTTGATACACCCCAAGACCTCATTCGCAGTGTGTCGCTTCAACACACTGGCTGCTCATATTTAACTTACAGTCCACCCGCACCCCAAGACCTTGTTCACACACACAGTTACCCCAGAAGTGATTCCCCCATCCAGTATGCGTGTTCCTCATTTTTGTTACCCAGATGTAGAACTTGGCACTTATCCTTGTTAAACTGCATCTTGCTCACTTTTCCAGTGTGTTCGCATCTTGTTGAATTCTATCTCCATCTTCTGCAGTGTTTGCCACGCCTACCAATTTGGTGTCATCTGTACATTTACTGAGTAGCCCCTCCACGCCCTGTTCCAGATCATTTATAGAAACACTGAAAAGTACATTAAGTACATTGCTACATTAAGATGTCTGGCAGGCAGCTCAATCGTTCTTTGTACTTCGGTATGATATTCTGTGGAACATCTGTGAATCCTCAGAGGGTTTCCAAGGCGAGAGACATTCAGAGGCGGTTTGTCATCGCTCTTCCTCTGTATGGCGACCCTGGCCTTCCTCGGTGGTCTCCCACCCAATTACTAACCAGGGCTGACCCTGCTTACCTTCTGATGTCTGATGAGACGAGGGAAGCCTAGGCCCAACCTGAATTCTGTGACACTGTCCTAGAATCACAGAATCATAGAATGTCAGAGTTGGAAGGGACCTTGCAAGTCATCTAGTCCAACCCCCCGCACTCTGCAGGAGCACAGCCGAAAGACAGCCCTACATACCTACAACATACCCGGAGCAAGAGAGAATAGATCTGCTCCATCTTTTACATGACAGCCCTTCAGATACTTGAAGACTGCAATCCTGTCCCCTCTAAGCCTTCTCTTTCCC